GGAACGTGGGCAACTCCCATGGCGCGGCTGGTATCTTCGATTGTGCTGGCATGATTTCGTTGAACCCTGGCTTGAACCACCTATAGCTGCCTGGTACTGTACTGTACATAAAACATGCTAGGGTTTGTGCACTGTACTGCACGTACACTACACCATAATATAGTTTCATTGGTTGTTCATGTGATTTGTGTAAAGACATATGTATACTGTAATTATGCACTCTGTACTGCAATATGATGTCGTAACAATAACAGAACATACGGTATAGCGCAATGCCACTTGTACTGTACTGTACACAAAAATGAAGAACTGCAACCCCATCATGCCACAAGAGTACTGTATCTATTTCAAATTCCTTTGGTATCATTGTATATTGCTCTGCTATGAATCAAAATGCTTTACACACTGTGGGCATCAAATTTTTTGTTGATGGTTCATAAATAACCTCATTATAAGCTTGCACTACAATACTATACAATACTGTAGCATTCTTCTCAGCCCATTCCGTTTGCTGGCCAGGCACCATTGAGTCTGCCACTTCGAAACTTTCGAGCTTGGTCCTGCGGCGCGTTGTTTGTGCAGCATGCGATCATAACCGTACTCCATGTATATTCTAACTGCACTATCTGAAATCAATATCAAGCAAGAATTAAATAAAAAATATTCGATATACCAAATACGCACAACTCATATTGTTTGAAAAACACATCGGTTTACAGTACAGTACCAGGACACATAATGCATTGTAAAATGAATGTGTGCATGCACCGAACAACACACTGGTCATTATATTGTGTTACAGTACTGTACGATGCAGTACAGTATTACTGTATATTGTACACCCGTAATTCTTCCGTTCTATCATTGAATGCACACTCACACTTCCCCGGATGTGGTGGTCCTTCCGTTGAAAATTCATGTGGCCAATGAAGTTGCCGGCGAGGAGATAGTAGGGTCCTGCGGCGCGTTGACTGTACAGCATGCGATCATTTTGTGTTGCAAGCTCCACACCCCATTCATATTCTAACTGCACTATCTGAATAAAAAATCAAATAAAAAATAATAATCGATACTGTACTGTACACAACTCATATTGTTTGAAAAACACATCGGTTTACAGTACCAGGACACATACAGTATTGTAAAATAAGTGTATGCATGCACTGAACAATACACTAGTCACTATATGTGTTACGGTACTGTACTGTACTGTATTGCAGTATCGTATTGTACACCCATAACTTTTGATTCTATCATTGAAAGCACACTCACACTTCCCCGGGTGTGGTGGTCCTTCCGTTGAAAAGTGATGCCGTGGATGCAGTGGTCGGCGACGAAATAGCATACTTACTGTACTGTAACCATCATAGCATTAAGTATCATGATTTTTATTCAACATCAATGTATTACTGTAACCATCATTACTGTAAACTATGAGGTTGTAATCATTTTTTGGGCTGTACTGTACTGTACCTACACCTGGCCTCCTCTGCTATAGTGCATCGAATGGACACCCCAAGTGACTCGCCAAGCCATGAAAGCTCACCCACATCCAATGTAGTTGATTGTTGTGCTCCCATTGCTTGTTCAGCAAGAATGACATCATTCTGTGGTGTAAAAGCCAAGGCAGTTTGCCTCAATGACTTTACTGTTGATGATTCTGATTGTTCGATCCGAGCATTGACAGCAACACCATTTGAATGCCTCTTAACTTTACTCCATTCGGAATAAGTGAGGGACCCCACAACACTGTGGTATGCACAATATCCATCAGGAGGTGCAGGCACCCGTAGATATGGCAGCTTACCATCACGCTCTCGAAGTGTAGCCTGCTCCCGAGCTGCATGTAATATTTCACTCTGCAGAGCATTCATGACCAACGCTACAACCCGTTCAGGGATTGAATGAAACATACTGTAATGGATTATCAAGTACATATTCCAATTGCATCATCTGTATACCCTGACACTGTACCGTACAGAAAACATAAAATAGAGAAATAAGTACTGTAACATCATTACAACAGGACGCATGTACGAAGATAATAAGTCATGGTCCCATCAATACTACTGTATACAGTACCAAAAACCGATTGCGTAATGTACTGTGAACAAAATGTTTCATGGTTTCAGCAACATCGCACCTGATCATCGAAGGAAATACCAATTTTGCTGCAATGAACGAATGAAATAGTCTCATTCCTTTTGCGCTTGGTTGTTTGATGCCCCACACGTACCGGTGTCCACACTGGCCCACCATCAGACATTGATACAATCCATGCACGAATCTTGAGAACACCCAAGCATTCCAGCAAGATCATAGGATTGTGAAAAGCCAACACTTTGCTTACCATTTGTTCAAAGTCCTTTGGATCAGAAATCTCTCGGAATACACCTAATCCCATCACTTGCTGTTCACGACTTTCCCAGTACTCCCGAGCTGTTGTGGATCCCAACGTTTCCTCCAGATTCTCAGTGGTAACTGCACCAGTGATTGCCATATCGGAACCAGCTAGAATAGCAACTGTGTCAGGTTTCGATCCCATTCCAACCAAACGTTTCAAAATACCTTTGTATACAGAAATACTGCTGTCAGGTAATGTGCTTTTGGCGATGTCCACGGGTGCCAGAAAATCTGGTGTTATGTCTTTGGCATCTGAAACCTCAATGGGCTTTTGTGCTTCATCTACATCCAGTTCTGAGATCATAGCTGGGAGTTCCGGGCCCTGATGTTCTGCCAGACTGCGTAGCGCCTTCTGTGTTTGCAGTTCCTCCTTGCTAGCCACCGCGATCTGGTCGATGCCTTTGTCCACAACTCCACCCTGAGGATGAGAGCTTCAGGTACATGTTAATCACATACATAACATTCTGTATAGTATTTCCACTAAGTTATTTTTCAGAACCAGTATATCAACAAAACCATTGTATGCTGCACAGTGTAGTACAGAACTGTACAGTACCAAATTGTGTTTGTTTCACACCCCTGGCCTTTTCAGCTATGGACATCGATTTCAACCAGTCAATAGCATTGAGTATCCCCGGACAGATCTTCTCCACATTGTGTGTCTTACCTTTGAAAACAGCCTTGAACTTGTCTTCTCCGGTACACGTAGATGTAAGAACCCAAGCACTGGTGTCTGTACCTTTTGTCAGCTCATTGAAAATGCAATCCACCAACTTACTTTCGACATTTTCCACCAGCCCCTTGCAAAGCTTTCGAATGAGTGCATCACGTTGGCTTGGTATGGAAGATTTCATGAATTTTGGGTCAACTCCGGCCGAATTGAGCATATTCTGCCGATCAACTGGCTTACGTTTGAATCCATCAAACACCCAAAGCATAGAATTGCTTTGTTTCATGAACACTTCACTGACTGCAAGCGCTAGCTGTTGAGAGCCACCCCAAGATTTGTGCTGGAATTTGCGATACTCTGAACCCACGGATACCTTGCAATGATGCTTGAAGACCTGTATAGCTTTGTTTGAAGGTTCCACAGGTTGTTTGGATCCATCAATGCCATCATCCATGTCATCAGTGTCACTTTCACCATCCGGTGGTGCATCCTCCGGTGGCAATAGTGGTGGAGGCTCCAGCGGTTTCTCACTGAGTTTACGAGCTTCGGCTGCTTGTTGAAGAGAAAATTGTACCTCAGCAATAAAATGTATTCTATACAGTATATGTGCACTACACTATGCACAGTATGCATGTATACTATAGATTTATTGTATACGTGCAAAAAAGAATGCACCAGTACTGCATCGTATATTACAGTATGTTGTACACTATTGTATTGTGATGTTGTGTTTATATAAGTTTTATGAAATTAGTGCAGTTAGAATATGAATCAAGTTACTGATGCTGCCTTCTGCATCAACTGCAAATCGTAGACCTTTCTTCCATCACCAGATAGCACCTGGAATGCCTTGGCTAATTTGGCTAGCTTGAATGGATTACCAGATGCAGCATCTAGTGCACTTTTATATGATCGCTTGATATCCTCCAAGGATAGAGATGCCAGCTGCATGACTTGCTCCACAGGCAGTGAACCTTTCCCCACAGGTTCCATGCCGAGCAAAGCGTAGTGACTGGCGGGCTCAGCAGCACCATCTGGTTGCTGCGTGTCTTCCGCCATCAGCAGCAGCAACGATTTTAGTTCAAACTCCGTGCGTTACAGTGCAAAAAAAAATGAATATGTACGGTCATCTTAACCTTTCACATTGCATATTGATGCAGTGGGTGTGCTTATGCGTTTGCAACACCGTGGACAGAGCTGTATGTGGATCATGGTTTTATAAGTACACAATGTGGCCACCTGAAGCTCAACAGAAATATGTTTCTCAACCTGGTGTTGATCACCCGCTGATGCACACAAGCTTGGAGCATGACTTCACAGCGAGCCGCATCTGCATTCCGGGGGAACCGGTGAATATGTTTATTTCGAAACCCATAATCAATGCATCACAATAACAAACTAGATCATACATGATTGTCAAAGAAACTTAATCTTTCGATCCCATATTCTATCTGCATGATCTTGCATGCTATTTGCTAACAATACAATTCATAGCCAATCATCAGAATCAAATATTGCGCACCACATGTTTCCCAACATACACATAGTTGCAATAATTTGCACATATAGAATATAATATATATATATATATACAATGAGTTATGTGTGAAACATTATGTTAATCATGAAATGATTGATCCAGAATTATCGCTAATATTCCATTTTCGCATGACGTATGCAAGAAATCCAACATACTACATTGATGTTTGTTGCCAAAAACTTAAATAACTATGGAACATATGTTCATATTCTATCTGTGGTGGTTTTTTTTTCGGGAAATTCTAACTGTCGTAAAAAAAAAAAATCTCTGGATTTTTTACGTAAAAGGAAAATTCATTGATTCCAAATTCTAACTGCTAGTCACCCACTGTACCCATTGAAAAATCATGGAAAACTAGGCCTTGACCACTTCGCGATGTCACCTCGCCTGCGATGGTGGAATCCACCTCCACAGCAAGGATTTTGCGGTTGGGCTTGTAAGCTTTGAAGCCCAGTCGCTGCAACCTCTGCGCGGCTGCGAAAAAACCAACGCGCTGGCGAAGTCGTTGGGATCTGGGATGTTGGGTGAAAAGAAGATAGGAAGGTGGGTGAAAAAATGTGAACAATGCGGGGATTCACACTTTCCTTTTTTTATGGTATGTTAATGTATATTATGGGAAAAGAAGCTGATAAAGCAGAGGATTTGGGGGTATCCTATTTTGAGACAAACCCATATCTATGAAAAAAAATCTGAAAGAGTGTTTTTGGATCCTGTGATTCATGGCAGTTTTAAGAGCCAAAATAATGAAAACAGAGTGCATTTAGGGCTACGTTTCAGAGACACCCAAATGTTTTTGAAAACCTCTAGGATGATGTTTGAATCCTAAATGTGGTAAGGCCACCCTTATACATGTCATACCTGATTTTAGTGGCTAAGGGCCTTGAAACGTTTTAACACAATGGCAGTTACTTTATTGTTGGGTGATCCCATTACAACGGACTTGAATGAAAATTTGGTGAAAATCTTGCTACCTATCAGGTATCTGGACACATTATAACAAATTGGTAGTTCAAAACTAGATACCCTCTGGTAATTTAACATAGCTATTGAAAATCACCATTTTTAATGGGAACATCCACTATTTCTATGGTCATTTTCAATAGCTATTTTAACATAACCAGAGGGTAAGACTTTTTTTGGAAAATTATCTTTCAATCCGACACATCAGGTTCAGTGACCATAATTGACAGCTTCGGTCGCTATACCCTCTGGTTATGGCTGACATAGCTATTGAAAATGGCCCATTTATAGTGAGTTTTCCCATTAAAAATGGTGATTTTCCATAGCTATGTTAGTTTACCAGAGGGTAAAATCCCTCAAAAAAATCTCATGAAAAATTCCCATGATATCCCAATGAGTGATGATAAAATGATGATAAAATGTCCATACAAAAACGGGCAATCAAACATGATCAAACATGGCTTGCCGGAACATCTCCCATTTAGTTCGAGGATTTTCCCAGATGCAAATCTCCATGTATGGGACTGGGATTTTCCAGTTCACTATGTTAGTCATAACCAGATGGTTAATTATTGATGGTTAATGATGGTTAATGATGGTTAATGATGGTTAATGTTTATTATTTAATGATGTGAATAGCGATCTTTAATAATGGTTAATGATGATGATGAATGGTTAATAATGGTTTAAAAAATGATGGTTAATGATGGTTAATAATGGTTAATTTTCAGCAAGACAAAGCCACTCTTCCGCATCTGCATGGTCCACGATCTCCTCCGGGTCTGAGGCGTGATAGACTTTCTGAAAGGTCTCCGCTTTCAGGATGTACTCCTGCGATTTTTGGGACCGGCCCCAGGTTTTGTTCGCTACTGTAACCTATGGTTATTTAACATAGCTATGGAAGATCACGGTCTTTGTATAGAGATGATCATAAATCAGCCATAAATTGGCCATTTTCCAGTTCGCTATGTGAAAAATGACCGGATGGTTGGCCTATAATTTGGATCTAACTAAGGTTTATGGATGTTTTTGGTGGATAATATCGTATAATATCGTTAGATTCACCCAAGTTTTTTCGCTGGGGCGTATGCAACCAAACAAGGCAACAACAGGTCCCGGGTCAGTGAGTGAAAACCCTGGTACCTTTATCAAAGCTGATACTGGCACTGGATGTCCATCTCATCACTTCAATGGGAATTTCAGGATCCAATTGATGGAGGTACTACCCTCCAGTAAATTAACATAGACCCTGGCAGATGGGGGTTGGAAGATTAGTTTCCTCTAAAAATGGGTGATTTTCAGGGTCTATGTTAGTTTACCAGAGAGTAACTTAGTACCATTTTTCAGTTGTGGGGATATTCCCTAAAAATAGGCCATAAAAACATACGGAATCGGTACCTCCAATTTAATTTCGGTTCCTGTTGCATGGCCATTGATATCCATTGATCAATGTGCATGACCATCATGACCATTGTACCATCGGTTACCAGATCATGGCCATTTCAATGGGTGCCATCTTCCAAGAACCCGAAAAAATGTGCGCACAGAAAGGGCTCTGTGGCTCCGTCCAAAGCGACAAAAACCGCCAAATCCACTGGAGAATAATCATAGTTTCGCCATGTTCCCATGTGTATGTATATATGTGTATCTATATATATAATGATATTATATTATATCATATTATATTATATTATATATTATATTATATTATATATTATATTATATTATATATTATATTATATTATATATTATATTATATATTATATTATATTATATTATATTATGTTATGTTAAATTATATTATAATATATCATATCATATATATATTATATTCCCCAACATGTTCTATGGCAGTACGATGCAGTTTCCGCTCAGTTTCCAGACCCATTTTTTTCAAAGAAATGCCAACAGCCTGGCCCAGCTTGGCTTGTCACAGTCTAGCTCCTCTTTCGAACTTGTGTCTGCACGAACCACCATGTCTCCTTCACTGGCAATGTTTTCCTGGGTTCAATTCGTTCAATCACGTGATTTGAAAGGCCTTGCTCCGATTTGGTCACCATTTTGATGGTTAAATCACCATTTTGCACGGTTTTTGATGTTTAAATTGCAGGAACTGTGTCATGATGTTGAAAAATAGGGATTATGTGGGATATGGGAAATTTTGCGGGAAACCCTCGTCTTTAGCCCCATTTGTTTTGCTGTAGTTCTGGAAATCTTTCGTTCCACCATGTCTAGGAGTGGTGCCCCAAAAATTCGTTCTACAACTGGTCCAATTTAAAGGATGGAATATGCGGAATCTTGCCCTGTCTCCCCATCCTTTGGATCGAATCCACCGAACCATGGTAACCATCCCACACCAAACCACACCTGTCTTGCTTTCGAAGCCAAACACATCGATTTCACACATTAAGCCCAGTATCAGTTTCGACCTTGCCCTGTAAGATCGTCTGGATCTTTTCGTTCTCAAGGGCTTTCCGGATGAACGCTCGTTTGAACTTCTGGTACTCTTTCCTGGGCTGATGACCGGCGGGGGGTAAATGGACATTGGTATTGGCGTACAAGACAGATGACCATGTGTATATGTATGAATTTCATATGATATACATATCATGAATCATATCATGTTTTCTGCACATGCTTGATGCTCTGTACATCTAATGTTACATACTAAGATTTCAGACCAACCGAGTTAATGGTGGTTTGTTTCCCTCCAAGAATTAGAGGAGTTAACGCAGAAGAAATATATGGATCTACACAGGATGGTGCCCCCAGGCAGATGCTTGTTGGTTTATAACCCCATCTAAACATAATAAAAAGAATATATTATACGTATTGTTATTATAGTTATAAACCAACTTAGCTAACGAACTGGGGGCCCCATCCTGCAGGAATTTAGGCATGCCTACCTCGAATTGTTCTTCTTCATCCAGAAACCTCACTTATCAGCTCCGAAAATTGTACGCTGCAGATACCTGCAGGGAGGTTGAACACTGCTCAAGTACATGCAGATTCATAATTAGTGGCTGGTTGGTGGTTAAAACCCCTCTGAAAAATATTAGTCAGTTGGGATGATCATTCCCAATATATGGAAAAATAAAAAAATGTTCCAAACCACCAACCAGGTGGTTATTAAATATCAGTATCAATTTTTGTCATATCCCAATGATATTTCTATCAAATCGGAGGCCCCTAAAGAAATGATTTATACATGTCCATTTCTTTGTAGCAACCCAAACATTTTTGGAAAAGTTCTGGGCAAATTATAAATATTTCACTAACCTTAGAATAGTTCGGCCATGAAAGGGGATGATTTCCCTTACCATGATTTCCAGGCTTCGGGAGAACAGGGTTCGGTCGTGATCAAATTTACCCAGATATATCATATATTATCCATAGATTCACCATTATTAACCATTATTAACCATAGATTCACCATTATTAACAATAGATTTACCCAGATGATTTGGAAAACTGAGGTTCTATCTGTTGGGGGTTACCCGGGTTAGCCTCTGGTCATTGAACATAGCGAAGCCAAAAAACCCCTGGCGAAGGCTAATTGATCATCTCAGATGGCCAAAGATGTTCTCTCTGGATGAAGGTTACGAAACAATGGTTGTTAATGGTTCCTATAACAATAAATTATAGTTCGATGATAATTCCCTCATATTTCCAGATGTTCATCTTTTTTCTATCTATTTTTAGGTTAATGCGGGTAAAACCATGATAAACCATCCCCCAAATCACCATTTTTATAGGTGGTATGGTTACCATTCCCAGTCATGGGTGGCTTATGACATTGTTTTACCCACATTACAACAGATGATATGTTACATACAACTAAATCCTACTTGGTGGTATACCTACCCCGCTGAAAAATATAAGTTCGTCAGTTGGGATGATTCTTCCCAATATATGGAAAGTCATAATCCAGTCATGTTCCCAACCACCAACCAGTGTATAGATCTATTAAGTCCATATTAAGATATATTAAGTCCCATTAAGCCATATTAAGTCCCTATTGTTGATGGTTTAATGACTATATCAGATTATCTATAGGGTTTCAGGTGGTTTATCCATGTGAAAATCCATGAAAATCTATGGGTTGAAAGACCCACCAGAACCACCAGAATCGCTCAACGAACCGAACCACGAACCGAAGCGAACCACCGAGCCACCCAGAGCTCAACAGCATGGGCCCCACCAGCGCCACAGCTTTCTCCTGCGACAGGATCTCCATCGGTCGCGGCAGGCGATGTTTTTCGCCGAAACACGCTGGAAATGGCCGATGATGGCCGATGTTTGGTGTGTTTCCATCGGTGCAGCTGTAGATCATTGGAAATCCATCGGTTTTTGGCTGGCATCAAAAATTTGATGATGTTGAGATATGTTCAGAAAATTGTTTGTGGGAGCATTTCATATACCATTTCATGATGGTGTTGCTCTATTAAATCTCTTCCTCTTGGAGCTGTCTTCTTTGGAATCTGGCTGCAGAGGCGGTCCTTCTGGCTGATGGAAGTGCATGTATGTATTTGGCATCCTGGAAAATAGGAAAAACTGGATGAATATGGAGTATTCAAAATGTTTATCCAATTTTTGGATTTATTGAAAATCCATGAAAATCCCATTTTCATCATATTCTATATATCTACTTCAGGATGACTATACAGATAGTATGTAATGAGGATGAGTATGAATGGGAATGGATAATAATCGTAATCATGAATCATCCTTGACTATTGTGAGGATCAGGATAATTACTAAATCTATTAATCATCAGTCGTTACCAGTCATTGTTATTAATTACAGGATGGGGCCCCATAGTTAGCTAAGTTGGTTTATAAGTATACTTGTGTATGATACTTATATTTATATTTAGATGGGCTTATAGACCAACAAACATAACTGGGGGGCACCATCCTGAAATGTCAACCCCGGATTAATAAACCATGGTTCATTAATTAGGGGGGTATTCCCCCAATAGTCATGATTTGATACTTAAATGGTACCTTCCCAATTAAACAGCTGTTTGGGGTTTATTCATCCAGGGTTGACATTATCAATCCTGTGTAGATCCATATATAGGTATATATCATATATTTCTTCTGGTATGTTACACACTTCTATCTTTTTGGGGGCTTACTATAAATCATGTTAAACTATATTCATAGCATCCCAAGTCTCTAGAATTTGGCATCCTAGAGGGATTCCGGGGTTATAAAACTATATGAATCATGCTGGTTGGTGGTTTCAACCCCTCTGAAAAATATGAAAGTTAGTTGGGAGTATTATTCCCACTATGGAAAAATAAAATTCATGTTCCAAACCAACAATCAGTGTATAAATCTATTAAGTCCATCTTAAGATATATCAAGTCCCATTAAGCCATATTAAGTCCCTATTGTTGATGGGAAAATAGATGTTCCACACCACCAACCAGCATGTCATTGACTACACCCCATCGCCCCCCCATCGCACATCCTCACCCAGCGACATTCCGATATTCGGCTCCCCTGTCCTGGGGATCAAGCCGCTGCCTGCGGAAAAATCCAGCGGTTTTTGTGGAAGAAATGGTGATAAAAAGGGGGATTTAGCGATCAAGACTGGTGAAGTTCATGGGTGATTTAGCCATCAGGAATGGTGAAGTTTATCGCTTTATGATTTTTTGCAGTCAAAGATGGTGAAAAACATGACGATTTAAGCGTGAAAACATGTTGATTCAACATGTTAAAAAACTGTGAAAAACATGGATTCAACGTGATTCAACCAATGAATCTCGATATCGTTTAAAATATTAGGGTGTGCCTGACGTGGGGTACCCCTACATGTTGCAATATGTTGCAATTTTCATGGGAAATATGATGAATATACCAGTAGATTTGGAATTGCCCCATTTTCAGACAAGCCAAATAGATCCAAATAGTCAATAGTTGTTGCGCATCTTGAAGCCACCCACCAGTAATCTTTGGAGAAACATGATACCATTCAACCATTCTACAAGGCACTTCTTCGGCATCTTTTTGTGATCCTTTTGTGATCTTTTGTGCCCAAGGTCCCAACGTCCCGCCTGCGACCATCGGAAAGAGTTTGGAAGCCATGCTCGAAGTACGTCTGCGCCAAGGCAGCTACCTCTGTCGTGCCGGATGGATCAAAACTTACAGAAATTGTTACCCTCTGGTTATTTAACATAGCCATGGGAAATGGCCCATTTATAGATGGCTTACCTATTAAAAATGGTGGATCTTTCCATGGCTATGTTAGTCATAACCAGATGGTAAATATATCATCCACCTGAGTTGGTATATTAAGTCCCGTTCAGATGCCGAAAAGAAAGCCATTTTACACCATTGTAGTGGGATGAATGACTTTTGAATATCTGAATATCTTTATTGGGGTGGTTACTATCATCTACCCTCTGGTAAACTAACAGTTTTCTATTGAAAATGGCCCAGTCGAAATAGTTGATTTACCCATAAAAAAAAATGTGCCGTTCCATAGTTTTTCGTTAACGTTTGCCAGAGTCTATGATTCATTGGCTTAATCAGTTTCATCCAATGGTTTCGAGGAGGATTTTCATGGTGAAGTCCTCATGAAAGTTTCAAACCCCTTTTTCATGGTAAAACCATGGTAAAACCCATCATACAAGCTTGTGCCCCCCAGGCAGATGTGAACGTTGATTTATAAACCATAGTAAGTATAGATATTATATATATATTATTCATATGTCTGATATATCTACCACAATATGTGGCCCCCAACTCTGCACGCTAACTAAAAAAAACATGATAATCCATGTTTGTTTCCGTTATTTATTTAATGATATTCCCATAGAATCTAGATATTATATTATATAACTATGATTTTCCCATAGAAATCTTCCAACTGGGTGGCTGTAGCCCCATCTCCCGACCTGCGATTGAGCACGCCCCCCACGAACATCATCCAACTGGATGGAACAGGCTTCAGCATGGCCTCGCGGAAAGCCGAAACAAAAAAAAAAACGGCTCGGCCTGGTCGAAATGCCATACGAAAAGATCAGAAAAGATAGGAAAATCATGGAGAAGATGGGAAAAGATCATGATTTTGGGGCACCCAGTTCTCAGATCAACGGCTGGACCCGGCCTAGGCGAGAGTAGTCAGTGTGGGGCAGCCCGTGGTAGCACACAGCTCCACTGGGGCTTTCATAACCTGGGCTCATTTCCCAATGGTACGATGGTACGATTCCCGAGCGTTGTCCACAGCACCAAGAATGGCCAAGCTTAAATAATATATATATACCCTCTGGTTATGACTAACATAGCCATGGTATAGATGGCCCATTTATAGATGGTTTACCGTTCTAAAAATGGTGGATCTTTCCATGGCTTTGTTAGTCATAACCAGATGGTATATTATATATATATATATAAGAACTCAAGGGCGCTCTGATTTTCCACTTCCACATGCTATGCGTAGCTCTTTGCACACGTTCCAAGCTTGACCAAAGTGGTTTCACAGTGCAGTCAAGAATGGAAGTCCCAGGTAATGCAAGGACTGATCAATGGGTGGGACATTAAAATTTGACCCTGGGTGGGTTACTTGAGCAGGAAGTTACAACGAGCTTTCAATCGTACTTGGAGTGCAAGAACTCAAGGGCGCTCTGATTTTCCACTTCCACATGCTATGCGTAGCTCTTTGCACACGTTCCAAGCTTGACCAAAGTGGTTTCACAGTGCAGTCAAGAATGGAAGTCCCAGGTAACCACATCTCCCATCATATCCTTGTAACTTGTCCTTGCATAACCATAACAGGCTGAAAACGGAATATCTGCCATCCAGTATTTCTCTGCCAGTAACGTCACTTGAGGAAGGCGCTACCCAGCTGCAGAATCATCGACCTGAAAGGCTCCGTAAGAATAGCCAAAAACTGAAAACAAGACACTTCCTGAACGCACATATCCACGACCCGTTGGTTCACCCGCATCCTCGTCTGAGAGTAGGCCCACCATTCTCGATGGTTCGAAAAATAAAAATGAAAAACCATGTAGTCCTTCTGATGCTTGTCTGTGGTAAACCTCGCCTTCGGTTCTTTCAGCGATAACTGCGCAAACGGATTCGCATGCCCTGTATCAACACGCAGTGAAGGGTCTGCCTTTAGTTCGCAGAGAGTTGCCAACTTTTAGCAAAGCTCCCCACATACGCAAAGACATTCCAACCAGCTCCAGGCAGCCCGATGAAAAAACCCACAGTGATGGCTGCAAGTGAAAACTGCCACGGCATCGCTAAGTGATGGACAGATGATCTAACACAAACCCAAACAAATGCATGGTTCCATGCCTCCATCATCTGTCTTCCAACTGTCAGTTTCTTAGTTGCCAAAAAGCCAATCATCTCAGCATAGAAATTGTAGAGCTGACCCACTACGTATAAATCGCGGGCATATTCGACCAGAAGTTTGTTCAATTCGTCAATCCCCACATGGTTTCCAAAGGCACATCCAAAGATACACCAATGCCAGCAAACCGACTTTCCCATTGACACTGCCCTGCCCAGCTTGATTGTAAAACCCAGCACAGGTCTACCTTCAACCAGTAGAGGTCTACTCAAACGGGCAGCCTGACACTGAAGATCTCCAGGAGTTTCAAGAACCAGTACGCCATGGCACCGAGGCGCGCCCGCGGCCCAAATCCAATCATAGAAGGGGGTACACAGTATTGCCACTGAGACCGAGGACAGGACCCTCACCGGGAAAGCCCAAAGTTGCACAAAAGTCCAAGGAGGAATGATAGGAAGCAAGGCAACGGATTGGACAGCGGATGGGAATAGGGAAACCCAAAAAGGAAGCAGGGGCAACGACAAAACGACCGGCCAGAAAGAACAAGGACACGCCGCCCGCAATGACCCCGCGCAATTTCACCTTTTTTCCAGCAGCTCAGTCTTCAGTTTTGCAACCCTTCCAGGGTTTTGTGACATTCGCATTTTGACATGACTTGCATTTCCATTGGTATTTGCATGACTTTGTAGTCGTTTTCATGAATTTACAGTGGTCGAAGCATTCAATTTTTGTCCCCATACAAAAAAAAAACCGAAGTTTTTATATTTTTCACTTGCAAGTCTTTGCCAACGTGCCAAGTTCTTTCAATCTTGCAAGTCTTTCAATCCCCACACCATCAGCAACGTAACAACATGTGACGTAGCAACGATCCCAGAGATCTCTACAGCGTAGCAACATGAAATGTACGAAGTGCAAGGAACGTAAACATCCCACCCCACCCCACCCCACACCACCCCACACCATCAGCAACGTAACAACATGTGACGTAGCAACGATCCCAGAGATCTCTACAGCGTAGCAACATGAAATGTACGAAGTGCAAGGAACGTAAACATCCCCCCCCACCCCACCCCACACCACCCCACACCATCAGCAACGTAACAACATGTGACGTAGCAACGATCCCAGAGATCTCTACAGCGTAGCAACATGAAATGTACGAAGTGCAAGGAACGTAAACACCCCACCCCACCCCACCCCTCACCACCCCACACCATCAGCAACGTAACAACATGTGACGTAGCAACGATCCCAGAGATCTCTACAGCGTAGCAACATGAAATGTACGAAGTGCAAGGAACGTAAACATCCCACCCCTCCCCACCCCACACCACCCCACACCATCAGCAACGTAACAACATGTGACGTAGCAACGATCCCAGAGATCTCTACAGCGTAGCAACATGAAATGTACGAAGTGCAAGGAACGTAAACATCCCACCCCACCCCACCCCACACCCCCCCACACCATCAGCAACGTAACAACATGTGACGTAGCAACGATCCCAGAGATCTCTACAGCGTAGCAACATGTAATGTACGAAGTGCAAGGAACGTTAACATCCCACCCCACCCCACCCACCCCCCCCACCCCCCCAAAAGAAAACACAACACGCACATGGCACATCAAAACACGCAAACCGCCTGGGGTCGTTAGAGGCGGCGTGAGCAAGAACAAGGGTAGATAGCCCACAACCGACAAGGCAGAGCGTGACCAGTAAGAAAACCAACAACGACAACGAGGAACCGCAGACAGACGAAAGGGCTCAGGCGACCCCCAGCCGGAAATTCCAAGGCCCGGAGTAGACAGCCGTGAAAAGCAACATGGAAAGAGAACCAGCCGACTCAGACAGCTAGGAGCGAAAGCGAAGACCGTGCACATACCTACCATCACACAGACGGCTGCCAAAGGACATAGAGCTGCACTAAAACTCCGACATAGACCTGCCCATGGCGGCTCCACACATAACGTCGTAAAAGGCAATGAAAGCCACCAGGCGGACAGACCTACCAAACTTGGAAGACATGTGGCAAGACGGACAACTACTGACAACTCAGGCAAGCTAATGTGAGTCGCAATATTAAAAGTCCATACAGATTCCAGCTCCCAAGGTAGAGCACAGCACAGTCATTCGCCAACTTTTTCTCCAGGCCTTAGACTTAAGGGATATCCACAAAGCTATAGTTATGTTATGACACAACCAATACGGGCTGCCATTACCTGGTCAAGGACAGCCGCCAAGGCATCAGCGTAAGTGGCTGACCTTTGGTAAAATGACCTCGTACTGGGACACGTGAATGAGTGCCATCACATCGTAGGAAATGGACGCCACACCAGCCCAATTGCACGAGAGACATAGACGACCAGAGATGAACGAACCCATAGGCGCATGATCACAGTAACAACCCGACAATGATCATCATATGCAACCACATCGTGGCCAGGCTGGAACTTAATCTTGGAGGTCCATAGTTTTTCAAGCACTCCAATGACCCTTTGATACAATCCACCCTGCATGATTTCGAAGAACCTAAAAGCCGGCATAGGGCCACCAACTGTCTGTTCATCTTGTAAGCAAAAGCCGAAGGGAAATTCCTTGGCCCACATCTCACACCGAAATCAAACCGATGAGCCAAGCCTCTCAAAAACTCTTCTTGTTCAGCTTTACTCCTCAAAAGCAGCACAGGGAGCGAGACGTGATGATTTGATGAAAGAAGCTTGGAGTATTCACCTTCGAACTGAAGGCTTTCCAGGCACATTTGGAAATAGTCAGGTTACTCAGCGCTACCACGACTGCTCCTTTTGCCAGCGATGCATCCGTGGCATAAGGGTGACCACAAAGTTCAGCGGCAATATCAGGGACAGTCAGAGACGCAAGTACGGCCAAAAAAGGGCAAGCTCCGTAGCTATTGTTCGAGACAACCCTACCAGTCATGAAAATACTTCCAAAAACACTCAGGCAAGCCACAAGCTGATCTCTCGCAAACTATGGTCTGGCTAAAAATCCAAGCCCATCGCACACCAAGTGCATCTTTAGCCCTCAGCTTCTTCCGTTTCTGAGGCTGCTCGAACCTAAAAGTTTCCCAAGTCAAACAGGCCCTTCGGTACTTGAGAATCTCGGTATGTGGAGATCGCAAACTGATGATAGGAGTCCCTCCTGCCGGAGCAATGCAATGAGATAACTTCCGAGTCAGGAGCCATAGAGGAGCCCACAAGGCCAGGGCCACAATGAAAATGTATGGATGGTCCAGAGGCTCTGGCCTCCACTGCATTTCTTCCTCTACGGTCTGCTATCCGCCTATCTACCTCAGAACTATTCAAACAGTTGAAAACTCGCACCAGCTCAAAACGTCTCTTCTTCCAAGTCAGTGTAGTGAATATAAGCCGCCCTCGGGCATCCCAAAGTCTAACCAAGGAAAGCACCTCACCAAATGGAATAGGAAGGCCAGAGAGGGTCCTTTCATACGTTCCAGCGCCAACACCAAGCTTTGCCAAATATCAGGAAGGTCACAAGGACTTGCACTTAATTAGGGAAACATCGGCCACTCTCGATCACCTCAAATGATTCCAGAGGGCCATCAGCCAAAACAAGACCCGACAGCCGTTGCAGACAATTCCGCCGACTCATCGAAGTGGTCCTCCTCAGATGTTCCATGAAGATAGAACAGCTCCCTGCCCACCAGAAGTCCAGTGCCATCACCATAACATGAAACGCTCTTCCGAAATGGATCTTACACCTTCTGGAAGTAGAAAGACCTGAGGGCATCCTTGCGAGAACACCTGGAAAGGTATCGACAAGGGAAACAATGGCGATGCCGAGGCCTCAACGCCTCGTTGCCAAAGCAGTGTGGAATACAGAAATTTCGTAGAGGGAAAACACGTTCCCAAAACTGAAATAGCCAAAAATGGACACCGCGCATTGAAGTCCAAGGTGTCCACAGCTGATGTAACTAAACAAATAGAAAACGACCAAAGGCTCATGAGTATCCTAGTCACCGGATAAATTCTTTTTATGGTTTTTTGGAAGGTAAGGGTGGCCAGGAACTGAATAGCCTTCTCGGCTGCCACCACTATGCAAAACTCAAAACTGTCCCTCAGGTTGGACTTCACCTCCGTGAGGGCGATCAGCCTTATTCTAGGCCTCATGCATCCGGCGATTGACCCGCCTTTGGTTTCTTTGGGAAGCGCGGCTTGCGCTTCGGCGATGCTTCTTTCTCTGGCTCTCCCTGCGAAGGTGCTTCCTGGCTCGATGATGCCTTTGCGGGTTTCTTTTGTGTCTCGCTCTTCTTGTTTGCCAGCGCCTCCAGATCCTTCAAGTAAGAAAGGCAAACCGCAGTCCATTGAGGCGGAACCAAGGGCCCGAAAGGTTTCGAGCTGTGAGTGAGATTGATGGCCCGATCTTGATACATCTGGTTTGGAGGTTCTTCCAGAAGCGTCAGAAGATATGCAAGCGACCAATCCCCTCTGTCCACCACTGACTGTTCCACGGCGACCATCATGAGGGCCAAAATCTCCTTGGTCCTCCTAATGTTTCCAACCGCAGAGGCATCCAGAGCGTGGCCAAGCATCCATGCGATTAGCCCCATCTCTCGTTGGTTTCGATAGCCTCCATTCCGCTCAAGGTATGTGAGAACAGACAAGTCCCCCAGGTCCTCCTCCTTCTGCGGCACTGGCTTCGAAGGGCGCAAGCGTCTGTGAAGCTGCTGCATCATTTGCAAATAGTAATGGCTGGTGTCAGCCGCCAGCTCGTTCTGCATGCGCTCCCTTCGCTGCACGCCTTTTGTAGTACTCGACGAAGGACCGAGTGAGGCCAGGTCTCCAAGGGCGTCGGGAGATTGGGCGGCTAGGTGTGCCACCAGTGCTGTGATGGCCGTGCTCTGCTGGGCCAATGCCGATGCGATGCCTCCCATCTCTTCCGGTTGAGCCTGCAGGATATCCAAGGGCTCGTCCAAAGCCGTCACATCGGCTTCGACTGCAACCTGAAGGTTCTTCGCGACCTTCGGCGGAGGCCCCACAAGGCTCAGAGCCTTTGCCGCTAATGTTGCGGGCACTCCCTTGGGATCTTGAAGGGCCGAGGAGACAGCGGGCAGCTTCTGGGACGCCATAAAAGCGTGACCAGGTGGCCGCCCTCCAACATCTTCTGCAGAACCGTCCCTTGACTTCTCCAACTGATCCTGCCTCTGCGAAAGAAACTGCATCTGAGCTGCCAAATTGGATAGCTGCTCTGCGATCATAGAGTTGGTCACACGCGGCTTTGCAGGCGCCTTTTTCGCAGAGGCACTGACTGCAGGTCTTGTTGGTGGAGCTTCTTCCAGGTCCTCTTGAGCTGAATAAAAACCCACCCTCTCTTCTTGGCGAGAAGCAATCCATTCTTTAGCCTGACCCAGAAGAACATTGCAATCTGGAAGGCCTGCTGGAAAATCAAAAGAATACCCATGTATAGCGGCCGTAGAGTCAGTCACCGGATCGTACTCACGACAAAGGCCCAGTACATCATCGGTGACATCAATCACCAACACCTCCACAGTCACTCCTAACTCCACCAAAGAAAGATCATCAGCCTCTTCCATGAGCGCAGCTTGAAAAGTGGAACTAGGACCAAAAAGGACATCTTCGGCCCCTTTCAGCCCCTCTTGCAAGGTGTCGGAGTTGATAACCTGTGCTGGAACTACAATCAACATACCACCTTTCCTGAATTCCAAGGGTAAAGCATACACATCCAGCTCTTCATCTAGAAGGGTGACCGTGGGCGGCAATGACAAAACAAGTAAGCTTGGGTCACCCTTTGAAGCTGGTCTCAGCTTGTCCTTTCTCAGCATTGGGTATACAGTGCAGGCAGAGCAATGCGTGCACTGTAGCAAAAGACGCTCAGCTCCGTCTCCGTTGCAAAGGCCTGCGCAATGAGCTCCGTGTCAGGCACTCTCGCCTTGAAGGCGTCGAAATCCTTGGCACTCCCAAACCTGACGTAACCACCCAATCCAGCTGCTCGGAGCACAATGAAATTGGTCGGCGGCTCAGAGATCACCAATGGGTGCAGGTTGTCGGTGTGGGTCTCCAGAGCAATGCGGGCCCAAAAACCGGCAGAAAAGGCCAGGGAAATCCTCTGCTCAGCTGTACGCCGATTCCAATCTACGAAATCAGCTTGATCTTTCACCCACTCAGGCACAGGCCCCGGTCCGTCTTCAAGCCCTCTGTAAGGAACGTTCCCGTACACAGTCTGGAACGGGGGCCCAGCCTCTTTCACCAACTTCCAACCAAAAGCCACAGGAGGAATTGCAGGAAAAGTCGGGGCCTGAACTTGCTGTGTGATCACCCGGCCTCGGTCAGCCACCCCACCTCTTCTATAACCAGACCCAGAGGACTGACCTGCAGTGCTGGAGGTCTCTCTTTCCGCTACCCACTTCTCAAGTTTCTCCAAATTGGAAATGACAGCCCGGATTTCTTGCGAAGTAAGTGGGCAATCACTCATCCAAGTACCTAGCCAGACCGGACTTGGCTTGACGAAAGATTTGGCTAAGAGGGCCGCTGTGGAGGTCTAAAATCCAAATCAAAAGACCACCACAGCAGATAAAATCCAAAGAAGAAGCAAGCCAGAACAAGTCCAAGAAGAAGCCCAGAGACGGCCAGGGTAAGCAGGAAGAGGCAAGGTGGAGAGGGCAGGCGGTGAGTCGGGAGATCTCAGCAGCGATAGGAACCCAGCCCCAAAGTCCACAGCTACGACCATTTACTTGAGCAGGAAGTTACAACGAGCTTTCAATCGTACTTGGAGTGCAATATGAGCATTGTTATATTCTGTTATCTTATATTATGTGTGTGTTGTAACTTTCGTCCACCTGCCCTTAAGTTGGAGCGATTGGCTTGCTCCCACATTTCCATACATTTCCCACATGTTTTGTCACCATTTCTGTGTCCTGCTACTTTCATCCATGACTTATCCACCTTCCCGGCTTCCCCTTTCCCATCGAGAAGTCATTTCCATCAAAATGCAAGCCCAAAACCAGGCATGTTTGGCTCCGCAACATCCTCAAATAGCTGTAAGGTTGAGGCTATACCTTCCCAAGAAGTCAGAAAATGGCTCATTAAACCCCTTATTGTTGCTCGTTGTCGCTGTCAACCCCATAAAAAGAAGATCATCCAAGAATATTTGAAATCACCCAGCTTGCATTTGCTTGAGGACCCACCAAAAAAAAATAGAAGTTTATTCCCTAAATCAATTCCCCATGTCTAGTGGATTTCCCCTTGGGCAAATCAGCCCATCAGCTTGCCGCCGTGGTGCGTCCGCCAGCATAGCCAATCAGGCTAGTGACTGCCGAGTCATTCCTCCGAAAGGGACCATCCGGATCTTGTTCCACCACCACGAAATCGTACTGCGTGTGCCAAAAGCACCCATTTCCTAAGCTGCCAGTTGGACACAGACTGGAGACAAAGGACATTGTCAGTGGCTAAGGAAATTGAAGAGGATACAGAAATTCACTGATACAAGCAGTATGTTGACTGCGGTAAATTGTACAGTTATTTTTGATGTGAAAATCTGTGAAAATCATAACATCGTTGATTCGAACGTTGTTTGTCTTGAACGTTCGTTGGCACAGATTCCTGTTGGAAAAGGTGCTGGGTGACGGTGCAAATGGTTCCATTTGTGGTCCCTTCATGTCCCTTCTACGTTTTCTTACAACAGAAGATGTGGGGTGAAAACTCCAGCAACATTTTGTTTAAATGGCACCAGTGCTGTAGATTAGAAAGTGGCCCCCTTGGATGGTTTTGGCATATTTTGAATCCCAAATACCCAGGTGAAATCACCATACCCTCTGGTAAACTAACATAACTATGGACAATCACAATTTTTCATGGGAAAATCCACTATTTCTATGGCCATTTTCAATAGCTATTTTGACATAACCAGAGGGTAAATCACCGGTGCGGCAGCCCGCTTCATTGCAAAAAGCAGCCGAAATAGATCGACCCCGCTGGGTCGTTTCGAAGAGAACTGGGAGGACCGTCAATCTTGACCTAACTGGAACCGCCACACGACCACTGTGATGGGAAAATTGTTGCGTGAAAATCCATTGATAGCCTATTTTTAGGCAAAAACATGCAAAAACTAGATACTGAGAAGGATTCCAACAATCGCCGCCACCATAATTAAACAGATTGAATTAGAACTCAGTGATCTTGGACAAGTTTCCCATTACTTTGTTTGTTTGTTCATGCGTTGTGTACCACAAAACATGGGCGTGACAACCAGGTTTTGATGCTGCATTTTTTCTGTTCAGCAAATAGATCTGTTTGTAGATGTGGTTTGGAACTTGTCATGTCCGGTCTAACAGCTAAAGCTTAGCAACACGTTAAACGACCAAAACCACAAACCAAAGTTTTAGGTTGAGATAATGGCCCTTTTTCAACTAAACTGCCAAACCCATGTTTTCCCTATGAGAGAAACTCCTGACTCAGATCCTTTGAGGTCGAAGCCAGTCTAAGGTTTCGGAAGTGCTGTGCCGCATAGGGATTGTTACTGTGGCTGGTGTTGATGTGGTATTACCGGGCTGAGACAATCACACACACACATACATAAGTCACACGTATTTTCGTATGAAGGAAAAAAATAGCGTTTGGCCTTGCCAACCAATTTTTGTTGGATGCTGTTTGCAGCCCGCACCCACGTCAAGACAAGAACGCAATGTCAAAACCTTATAAGAAGTTTTCGTGACTGGGATTGATCACCAAATATCATGCGTATGTTGATTGAACCGAAACATTGCAAAACCTGGAAAGATCGTCATTTTTTGGGCTACAAAGCAATCATGTTCAAATTTAATTCAAGAAATATTGTATAATGTCATTGGAAACGTTTTTTGGGGGCCGCAAAGTGTTGCAAATTAATTTGCATGTGTTTTTCCAGGTTTCATACACTTGGCATGACCCTCGATAGTTTGGCATGTCAATGAACAGAAAAGTGACAATAATCTGGAAGGTCATCATTTTTGGCTATCGATAGTGCTTTTACATGTTTTTACTACAAAATATCGCTTAAGAACAGTGAAAATTACAATTTTGGGAGCAAGTCAAATTACATATGAGTATTTTTCAGGTTTCATACACTAGCATGACCTTCGATAGAAACATCGTTCTAAGTGTGTGATGATTAATGTTTGGAAACCTGGGGGCCATTCTAAGTTCCACTGGAGGACGATATAAATCCGCTGGCCCCTGCCTTCGCCAAGGCAGGGGCGGCGCCTGGGACCACCGCAGGTGTGGAACTTGTTTTTGTCGGCTTGCCTTCAAGCCCCTACAACACTGCGCTGCAGCTTCGACCCGGCACTCCATAGCCATCTGTTGTTAGGGCGTTCAAGCCTGCCGCTTGCCAGCCTTCAAACCCCCAAAATGCTTCGCGGCAACTTCGACCAGGCACTCTGGCCACAGGCATTTGTTGTTAGAGCGTTCAAGCCTGCCGTTTGCCTCCATAGCCATCTGTTGTTAGGGCGTTCAAGCCTGCCGCTTGCCAGCCTTCAAACCCCCAAAATGCTTCGCGGCAACTTCGACCAGGCACTCTGGCCACAGGCATTTGTTGTTAGAGCGTTCAAGCCTGCCGTTTGCCTCCATAGCCATCTGTTGTTAGGGCGTTCAAGCCTGCCGTTTGCCAGCCTTCAAACCCCTAAAATGCTTCGCAGCAGCTTCGACCAGGCACTCTGGCCACAGGCATTTGTGTTAGAGCGTTGAAGCCTGCCCTTTGCCTCCATAGCCATCTGTTGTTAGGGCGTTCAAGCCTGCCGTTTGCCAGCCTTCAAACCCCTAAAATGCTTCGCGGCAGCTTCGACCAGGCCATCTGTTGTTAAGGCGTTCAAGCCTGCCGCTTGCCAGCCTTCAAACCCCTAAAAATGCTTCGCGGCAGCTTCGACCAGGCACTCTGGCCACAGGCATTTGTTGTTAGAGCGTTCAAGCCTGCCGTTTGCGTCCATAGCCATCTGTTGTTAGGGCGTTCAAGCCTGCCGTTTGCCAGCCTTCAAATGCCTAAAATGCTTCGCGGCAGCTTCGACCAGGCACTCTGCCCACAGGCATCTTGCTGTTAGAGCGTTCAAGCCTTCCGTTTGCCTCCATAGCCATCTGTTGCTAGAGCGTTCAAGCCTGCCGTTTGCCAGCCTTCAAACCCCTAAAATGCTTCGCGGCAGCTTCGACCAGGCACTCTGGCCACAGGCATCTTGTTGTTAGAGTGTTCAAACCTGCCGTTTGCCTCCATAGCCATCTGTTGCTAGGGCGTTCAAGCCTGCCGTTTGCCACCCTTCAAATGCCTAAAATGCCTAAAATGCTTCGCGGCAGGTTCGACCAGGCACTCTGGCCACAGGCATCTTGGTGTTAGAGCGTTCAAGCCTGCCGTTTGCCTCCGTAGCCATCTGTGTTTGCCAGCCTTCAAACCCCTAAAATGCTTCGCGGCAGCTTCGACCAGGCACTCTGGCCACAGGCATTTGCTGTTAGAGTGTTCAAACCTGCCGTTTGCCTCCATAGCCATCTGTTGTTAGGGCGTTCAAGCCTGCCGTTTGCCAGCCTTCAAATGCCTAAAATGCTTCGCGGCAGCTTCGACCAGGCACTCTGGCCACAGGCATTTGTTGTTAGAGCGTTGAAGCCTGCACTTTGCCTCCGGCAACGCACACTTCGGTGATCATCTTCCCAATGTGCCCGACATCGCAGGCTCAAAAAGCACTGCGCTATGAGCGCTTGGCCGCCACAAACCACTTATCCCTGTGGTAACTTTTCTGACACCTCTAGCTGAATATTCCTCAGACCTAAAGGATCCATAGGTCCATTGGCCAGTTTCCACACCTGCATTCGCACTCAAGACCCAAAGCAATTACCAAATATGATTAAATCTTCCTTCCTATTGTCCAACCCCGACAGGAATGCGGGTCGGCGGCACCCGGGCGCTAGCCCATTCTATTAAACGGTACACATCCTAGATTTCCAATGGTTTCCCCAGCCAAGATACTGAAAAAGGGGGTGGCAACAGGAAACACCACAGCAGGCCAATCCATCCTGCAGGAAATTGCTGGACACAAAGGCGAGCAATGCCCAGCAAACATGGCAGCCGGGTGAAGTCCAAAAAAAAACGACACCGGCAAAAGGCCCCAAACAGTGTGTGTGTGTGAGAGAATAATGTATGGAAATGTTGATGTTATAGATGTTGGTGATGATGGTGATGATGGTGATGATGATGATGATGGTGATGATGATGGTGATGATGATGGTGATGATGATGATGATGATGATAGTGGTGTTAATGATGATGAAACTGATGCTGATGATGATGATGGTGGTGATGATGATGATGATGATGTTAATGGTGATGATGATGATGGTGATGATGATGATGATGGTGATGATGATGATGATGATGATGATGATGATGTTGAGGATGATGGTGTTGAGGATGATGGTGTTGAGGATGATGACGATGATTATGATGCTGCTGGTGATGATGACGATGATGATGATGAAGTTGCGGACGATGATGCTGAGGATGATGATGTTGCAGGCGACGGTGTTGAGGATGATGATGTTAAAGATGTTGTTGTTGATGATGATGGTGATGTTGTGGATGATGATGACAACGATGATGATGATGATGATGGTGGTGGTGGTGGTGATGATGAGGAGGAAAAAGATTATAATGTTTCGGAAGATGAGGTGGATGATGATGATGATGATGATGATGAGGAGGAGGAGGAGGAAAAAGATTATAATGTTTCGGAAGATGAGGTGGAGGATGATGATGTTGCGGAAGATGAGGTGGATGATGATATTGAGGATGATGACGTCAAGGGGAAGGAAGATGATGATGTGGAGAATTATGCTGTTGAGGTGGTGGAGGATGATGATGTTGAGGATGATGATGTTGAGGATGATGATGTCAAGGGGGAGGAACATGATGATGTGGATAATGATGATGTTGAGGAGGAGGAAGATGATCTTGTTGAGGATGAGGATGTGGAGGAGGAGGGACCATCCCAAGATTTACAAGGAAAAATGCCGGAAGCCAGAGTGAGCACCTCGATCAAGCACTGGCCTTAACCGCTACCGTAAGAACCCCTCAGTGTGGACACACTGCTTAGGAAAAAATCGAAGTATGAGAAGTGACATTTTTTGTGAATAGACGCGAGTCTAAGATGGTCTCGTGCCTATGGCCCACCTCAAACTGGTAGTTGGGCCAATCATCCAAACATTTTAGTCGGTTGGGTCGAAAACAAAAACAGATTTGAAACCATCAATCAACACATAAAAAAACAAAAACGTATGCTTCTTGGCGATATGATATGATCGTACACAGTATAAATATCATATATTAATATGTAAAATTGTTGGTTCCACCCCAAAAATTGGGACTTTTCTTTCACAAAAACAAAGCGAAAAACGGCATTTTTCGGTCGCAGTCTCCGGCAGGGACCAGCACAAGTGCCGCAGCAAGCCTCTGCCGGGAATCCTGCACTGAAACAGTGATGAGTCAACCACTTTTTGGGGGGGACCTATGATCAATGGATATCATTGTGATATGGAGGTTTCCTGAGATGGGGATATGTCCATTATAAATAAACATTAGGGGGTACCATTGTAGCTGGGATAATCCATTTATAATCCCTTTGTATCAATGGTAATTTCAGGATCCTAAAATGGAGGTACGTTAGTACCATATGTTTGGCCATATTTCCTGGGGATATTCCCTGAAATTTAGCCCTGAAAAATGGGCCTTATTAATATGGTAGGTACCTCCAATTTAGGTTCCTGAAATGACCAGAAATATGAGGATATCATTCAAAAATCATCTGGTTGGTGGTTGACCTACCCCTCTGAAAAATGATGGAGTGAGTAACAGTTGGGATGATTTTCCATTCCCAACTGTTTCTGGAAAGTCATGTCATCCAGCCATGTTCCAATCACCACCAACCAGTCATCTGTTGATGGGATATGATTGGCTACCAAACATCATTTGGATTCAACCCCCAAAGATAACCCACCCATTTGACGTCAAAGTCATCTTTGGGGTTGTAAAGAGGGGTCAAAATGAAGACAAAAACGAGTCTGAAAATGAAAATAACCAGAATGTATCACCATCTTAAGAGGTAAAATTCTGCTTCGCCGATTTTGGGGCTAACCCATGACTTAAACCTAGTTGGATCCTAGTTTGGCAGTGGATTGTCCAAGGGATCAAATCTCTGAGGTACCACCTGAGTGCATAAAGTTTGGGACTATCCGGAGAGGGAACATCTGGTGGTTGAAACCCTCTGTGTTTCATGGGAAAAAGATATGCTTTCCTCTACTTCAAGGTGCCAGCGGTGATCTTTGTGGGTATAACCATGGGGTATTAGTAGATCATAGCCCCCATAAGCTGTGATATAGCCCCATAGCCACCCAGTGTATGTTCCCTTCGTCCAATGGAAAGTCAGAGATTTGTAGCACCATGGAGAATCTTCTTGGAGTTGCTTGAGGAAAAGAACACTGCAGATTATACCATCTGCTTATGACTAACATAGCCATGGAAAATCAGCATTTTTAATAGGTAAACCATCTATTTCTATGCGTCATTTTCCATGGCTATGTTAGTCATAACCAGAGGGTAGGTTGGATTTCCTCAAAAAAAAGTCACCAACTCAGCAAACACCACCGAGATGGGTTTTTGAGATGACGTACTTGCCGGCTTCCATCAGATTGTCGAAAACAGCAAATTTTGGGGGGTTGGGTGAGATTTTGGGGCAATCACAACTGGTTAGTGGTTTTAACCACCTTCAAAAAACATGAGTCAATGGGAAGGATGACATCCCATATGATGGCAAATAAAATTCATGTTCCAAAGCACCAAACAGATGATGAAATGTGCCATTTTGAACCAATCGGCCACTAGGATCCACTAGGCACCTTTGTGAATGGGACTTTGAATTACATACATTTACCACAATCCAAGCCCTTTGGCGGGTGAAATATGGGTTTTGTCTGAAAATAGGCTACCCCTCAAATTTCATGGTTTCTCGTCATTTTGCCGGAAAAAAAGGGGGTCGTTTGATGGGTATGGTTGTATTATGTTGTATTATGTATTGGTGGTTATATTGATTACTGAAAAGATGATGCCATGGTTTTTTCCAATATATATCATCATATCAAATTATCTCATGTGATATCCCCCTATTTTTCCTCATGAAACATGAGCATTTTCCAAGAAATGGGTATGGGTCAAAATTAGGTACCCCAATAATTGGATGGTGAATACTAAACTAGACTAACATCTGTGGTCCCCTAGGTCTTCCATTTTGACCCACATCCAAATCTTCCCCTTTTTTTTCATCACCCGTGCCGAAAGGAGATCACCTCACATCCCTTTCGCAAGCATGCGTGCGTCGCCGCCACCTTTCACGCGAGGTGTCCACGGGATTGACCCTCTGGTAGTGACTGTTAAAACCATAGGAAAACCATAGGAAAACCATAGGACAATGGTAAAATCATAGGAAAACCATGGGAAAACCATAGGAAAACCATAGGAAAATGGAGGTTTACCCTCTGGTAAACATTTACATAACCATGGAAAATCACCATTTTTCATAGGTAAATCAACGAACTAAATAGCAGAAGATGAAAGCAATACCTGGTTGGTGGTTGACCTGCCCCTCTGAAAAATATGAGTCAGTTGGGATGATGACATTCCCAATATATGGAAAAATAAAAGCCATGTTCCAAACCACCAACAAGTTACACTTTGCGAACTTGAACATTGCACATAGAAATAGTTGATTTGCCCAGCTATAACATGGTGATGTTCCAGTTCGTTTTTTGTTAACGTTCACCAGAGGGTAACCCTCAACCATTTTGTGGAAAAATGGAACATTTGGGATGAACATCTTGGATATTTTTGGATTTAAACATTGGGGCGATATTACCCTCTGGTCATTTAACATAGCCATGGACAATGGCCCATTTATAGATGGTTTACCTCTTTAAAATGGTGATTTTCCATGGCTATGTTAGTCATAACCAGATGGTACAATCAAACATACAATAATGTGGCGGTTATTTTTTCCCTGCACTAAAGCCGCAAAGGAACCTCGCCAAGAAATGGACCCACGATGGCTGGGTAATTTGTTTTAGTAATTAGCCTAAGCAAACATGGCAATGGAAAATCCAACAAACTTGAAGATGTTTCGAATGTACATTTATGAATATTTATGATATCATTTACCCATGAAGTTCGATGGTTTACCTGGTTTACCTGGAAAAAAATGGTGGATCTTTCCATGGCAAACTGTTAGTCATAACCAGATGGTTTACAAATGTTTCCATCATGATCTGTAAAGACCTTTTTTTTTTGCTTACCAGTTTTTTTCGACAAAAAAGCCTTCATTTCTACAGGATTTCCTACAGGATTTCCACTGTCGTGCCTTTAACGACCAGATGGTAATCCTCCCAAAACGAAGCTCTCAGCCTTGAAAAGAGCGATACTAAATGAGCAGCAGCTTTGCCGTATGTTGGTGGATAAGGATTCTCAGACAAGTACTTCGAAAAGTATACGGAATTCCCAAAATTTGTGGCAATGGTTCTACAATGTGGTGCCCCTCAGTTATAAGTTGGTGTAGATTCGCCCCATTAACAGACTATAGTTGTATCTACCATAAACCATAGTTATTGGAGTTATAAACCAACTTAGCTAACGAACTGGGGCACCACCTTGTAGAGGTTTCCGACTGCCCAAAACAGGTGTCCGACTCATCTTTTTCTGCTTGCAGCGACTTCATCAACATGAAAAAAGTCATGCCGAGTCAGCTCCAAAATCTCTCCAGGCTGCAGTTGATTTTAGAAGTTTCGGTGACCCCTCATTTTTTTGTTTTTTTTGGAAATTCTGGAAATTGTGATATAAAATTCTTGGGTATCCAAGAATTTGGAGGAATTCTGACTCCTGGGTCCTCTTGATCCAGAATTTGGGGAAATATCACACTCAAAGAGGACCCCTCAACTGGATGTTGCTTTAGTTTATGCACCCATGAATCTTCATATTCAATTTGCAAAACTCAGATAAGAGTTATAAAAAATGGGTGTGTCTGTGTCTGAAAGAGGGTACACCCCTAAAATTGCCGTTTAGCAGGAAAAAAATGATAATAGACCACGGGATTTGTGGATAGCTTGGCTTAGTTTCAAAACAAACGCCATGCCCACAAGTACCCATGCTATTCCACCCAAGTCACACCACATAGGATGCCAACGACGGTTGCAAATGCACTAAGCAGAATCATGTGCAAAGCCATAGCTGCACGAGGGGCAAGCTCTCAGAATTTTCGGGATCTTGGATTCCTGGGAAACTCACCATCATTACTGGTTGGCGGTTTGAACCCCTCTGAAAAATATTAGTCAGTTGGGGTTATTCTTCCCAATATATGGAAAAATAAAAAATGTTCCAAAACACCAACCAGTTTCAGAATTTGCGGGATCTTTCTTGGATTCCTGGGAAACTCACCATTAAACATCGAAATATATGGGGGTTGAATGGGGGATCATCATCTCGTTCCGCTCGCATCGTTGTACCCAAAAAGGACGCTCGGGTTGCCAGTGGCTGCGGAAAAATGACCCCTGCGGGGTAAACCGGGTAAAACCCATAACTTTAAGCTTTGACATATCCGACCTTCCATGGAAAAGTCTGGAGTATGTTGATCTCACAAACTTGGACGAGTTGGAAAAGCCCTGCAAAAACTAGGTATGACAGATCAGATTTGTTTCAGTGAAAAGAGCATCGTTATGTTCAGCTTACCAAACTAACTACAGTCAGGAACTATTCAGTCACAATTCACTGAACTCTCCACTCTCCGCTTGTCCAAAGAAACCAACTGGCAATGTTCCCCACTCACTCAACTGAGGCATGGCACTCAAAATGATCGAAACCGCCGATTTGCTGATGATTATTTACTGATACCCTCTGGTAAACTAACATAACTATGGAAAATCACCATTTTTCATGGGAAAATCCACTATTTCTATGGTGATTTTCCATAGTTATGTGAGTTTACCAGAGTGTAATTCCCCAAAAAAATGTCCTGGAGTCCTTAATAAGCCATCCACAGAGGGCCAAAAGCTGGCGATTAGGGTGTGATTGTCTGGTCACTTACATCTGTGAAAACTAGGAGAATCCGAAAACGTTTACCTAGCAGCTTCGATTTTTACCTAGATTTCAGAGGGTTTAAGTGCTTAACCCCTATCTCGCCCTATTTTGTTGAATTAACTTCAACAACATGGTCCGCCGCACACCCTCTGGTAGTTTAACCTAGCTCTTCAACATGGCCCACTTAGTTCGATGGTTTACCTATGAAGAAAGGTGTTTTTTTCATAACCAACTGGTAAATACCAGAGGGCATCCCCATTATATCCAATTATATCCAGTTACATCCAGTTATATCCAGTTATATCCAGCTATACTGTATCCAGTGAATATGTCATGATTATATCCCCAGTCAAATCACCATTAATAGACCATAATTGACAAAGGTGTTTTCATCCACCACTGCCACGCCTATGGCTATCATCATCCTCATCTTCCAAACCAGAGGCCGCCCTGCTTGGTTTCAACCCGGCGCCAACGGCGGGAACAAACCAGCCATGAACAAGTCGGCTATCCCAGTATGCCAACCAACATCTCAATCTATATATTCTAAATAATTCTAGATTGTATCTATATGTTCTCAATTCTCAAATATCATCGCATTTTTCCTCAAATCTCTGTTTTTCGCTATCCAAAAATGGTGGATAACCAAAAAAAGACAAGGAAAGGATGATCATCCACTCAATTCTGGGGATATCAAATGTTGATATATAGAAGAAACCCATTCACAGGTCAGTTTAGCATTGAATCTCTAGTATGTACTGTGATTGGGAAGTATTAGTTCTGTGTTTATATCCCAACCGTTTTTGGTCAAGAATACACCACACAAGAGAATTCGCAGATATAAAATGATATACCAAGAACTGGGAATAAAATACCTTTTGGGTTTATCCGAAAAGAGAGAAAAAACACCTGAAATGTGATGGTTCATCACCATTTTACGAAAAAAAATGGCCATAAGTCTTGGCCGTTCTTCCCCATTTTTAGGTACCAAACCCACCCATCAACCCGACCTCAGGTAGACACAGTACTCCGCATGCGACTTCTTCGAGCGACAAAAGCAACTGCGGCAGCGGAGCGTCTGCCTCCGATTTCAGGCAATGTAAATGGAGGCTTTTGCAAAACAACATTTGGGGTTTAACATGACTGGTTGGTGGTTTTAACCATCTTGAAAAATATTAGTCAATGGGAAGGATTGTCCCATATACATATAGCATCGTATAGCTATTAGTGGGGTTTACCCTCTGGTAATTTAACAGCTTGCTATTGAAAATGGCCATAGAAATAGTGGATTTTCCCATTAAAAATGGTGATTTTCCATAGTTATGTAAACCTTTACCAGAGGGTAACATGAACATTGCACATGAACTACAACAAATGAACAAAATGTGTTTTGAATGTCTTTTCAATGTCAATAATGTTATTTCGTAAATGTCTTAAATGGAAACAGAACTTAACAATGATTTAACTGGTAAATTGGTGTTAGGCCCATGAATTACATCAGAGTCGATATGATTTTTCGGATGCAATGCGGGGTTCACCCCCAGCAACGTACCAGTGGGAAAGGGACATCTGTGATGTCCACCAGTTGCCTTCTACTTGTGTATCCTGTCAGTGCGTGGTAATCTCACATGGGACAATTTTTGTCTGAATGTTGCGTACGGCTCCCGTGCCAGCAACTGTTTGTTGACGGATGAGTTGTAATTCTTCAGAATGTAATTATATAATCTCATCCCCCATTCATATTAAACACCCCCATGGTTAACTATATAATGGTCCCAAGATGTGGTTTCATCCCCTACATCCACCATGGTTTAGTTAAAAGAAGGGGGATGGGATTGTAATCACAAGGTCACAAGATATGTTTTTCATGTGGCAAATTCAATAAATAAACCTATATAGCCTATACCAACTTAATCATTCCTTGGTCGTAATCGCCAAGCCTTAACCAAGTTCTGAGGACAGGACTGGAGATCCATTCCAAAGAGGAAACCCATGAGACTGTTCCTCTCCAGGGTCTCCTCGCTTTCTCAAGTGTCAACGTGTCAACGTGGCGCCGGGAAAATCATCGAATTCAATGAGGAAGTCTGTTGGAAACCCAAGGTTGATCCAAAAAATCCCGTCTTTGAGAACATTGCGAACATTGATGATCCAGGCAACTTGGGATGTTCTCAAAAAAAAGAACATGTTCATCAATGCTCCAAGGAGCTGCCAGCAGCTCATATGATTTCATGTGGCCATGGGTCTCGAAAACCCTGAGAAACATATCCCGGGTGTACGACTCAAAAGTTGGCCCGTTCAACCTTTGGGCGTTCTGAAGTTTCAATCTTGACCGGTATGTAATTACCCTCCGGTAATGGGAAATCCCCTTGTAAATGGAGGTTTATAGCTGGGAAAATCATCTGTAAATAGAGATTGTCCTTTTCCATTGCCATGTTTGATTGCCGAAGCGTACACTGATTGTGGTATTGAAATTGAAGGGGTTGGTTGAAGAAGTTTAGCCAGAAACCATTGGCTTTACCTGGGCCTCCAAATACAAATACATGTATGTAGGGGGTTCCGAATGGTTCGAACAGGTTCGAAATGGGTTTGTCTGAAGCTACGGCGCGCCAAAAGTCCAATGGTTTATCATCACGTTCCATTAAAATGGCTAACAATAAATGAGGGTATACCACATTTCATTGGTTAAATCCTTGTGTTTCATGATTGCTAGATCTAGCATTTTGGATGCTTCCATCCATCTATATTCTCCAGTGTTCATGGTTGAATCTCCCATCTCCCTATTACCATATGAATTATGATGCCTTCAACGATTCTTACTATTATTCATATTCTTATTTATATTCTGATTCATATTATTATTTATATATGATTACCCTCTGGTAAATTAACATAGACCCTGGCAGTCATCGGGGTTGGAAGACTAGTTTCCATTAAAAATGGGTGATTTTCAGGGTCAACAAGTTAATTTACCAGAGGGTACCATACAACACCAGGACAAAAGCTTTTCCCCTTGACTAGCTGCAACCTCTCCCCTTGGACTCCTGACAGGCTTGAAATACGATCCGACACGCAGGCCACGCGAAATGAGGATAATTGATCCGCGGCTGAGGATCATGATGTAAGACGCAAAACGGGGAAAAACTTTCTTCCTCCAGATGGGCATTTTCCACTAAACAATTTTGTTCCTTTGATGAACATTTTCAACTAGAAAGAGTTGTGCTCTCATGAGCATGTTCAGCCTTAGACAGTGCTTCAACTTGTCGTGCTCAACATTGACCTGCATGCGCGCGATTTCAGGTCTTCTCTTCTAGGCAATGCCGCAGGTGTAAAATAACGCAAAACCAGGACAAATGTTTTTCCTCTTGACTAGCTGCTGCAAGATCGCGGATCAGCTGGTTTGCTTTAAAAGAGTTTTACTTTAACCCGGCTTGAAATACGATCCGACACGCAGGCCACGCGAAATGAGGATAATTGATCCGCAGCTGAGGATCATGATGTTTATAAGACGCTAAACGGGAAAAAACTGTCTTCCTCCTCCTGATGTATGATTACCATATGATTACCCTATAAATACCATATGATTACCATATCATTACCATATCATTACCGTATCATTACCATATGTTTACCATATCATTACCATATCATTACCATATCATTTCCGTATCATTACCATAACATTACCATATCATGAACATATCATTACTATATCAATAACTATATCATTACCATATCATTACCATATCGTTACAATATCATGACCATATCATTACCATATCATGACCATATGATTACCATATCATGAACATATCATTACTATATCAATAACTATATCATTACCATATCATTACCATATCATTACAATATCATTAATTACCATATCATATAATTACAATGTCATTACCATACCATTACCATACCATTACCATATCATTACCATATCATTGCCATATGATTACTGATTACCATATCATTACCATATCATTACCATATCATTACCATATGATTACCATATGATTACTGATTACCATATGATTACCATATCATTACCATATCATTACCATATCATTACCATATCATTACCATATCATTACCATATCATTACCATATCATTACCATATGATTACCATATCATGAACATATCATTACTATATCAATAACTATATCATTACCATATCATTACCATATCATTACAATATCATTAATTACCATATCATATAATTACAATGTCATTACCATACCATTACCATATCATTACCATATCATTGCCATATGATTACTGATTACCATGTCATTACCATATCATTACCATATGATTACTGATTACCATATATTAATATATATATATATTACCTATTGGAAATCCCTGGTCTGAATCCCACAGCGGATTTCTCTCGTCCTTGGTTGCAGGGCTACTCCTGGCAGCCTCCGCGACCGAGCTATCGCTTTTCCCATCGCCGACCGCCAGGCAGGCGTCCAGCAGCCTGCGAAGGAAACTCGGAGCCAATGGTTAATGGATTGGTTTAAGAGAAAATCTACAGGAAACCATAGATTTTCCCATTAAATATGGCTAATATATGGTTAATGATGATGTTTAATATATGGTTAATGATGGTTAATATATGGCTAATATATGGTTAATGATGGTTAATATATGGTTAATGATGATGGTTAATATATGGTTAATAATCGTTAGTAATGGTTAACATTGTAATATTATGGGTATCTTAGATATCCTCTAAGTGGCCATGTCATCTATGTATCTATATATCTATTGATGATTGTTAATACTGGTTATAAACGATTTACCTATTATTATTACTACTATATTATGGCTGACTACTATATTATGACTCTGACTAACTATGATATTATTATTGGAATGATCGTCCCGAATAGTTAGTAATGGTGATTGTTAGAATATACCATCTGGATCCATCTGGTATCTTTTTTACATAGCTATTGAACATGGCACATAGAAAATAGTTGATTTACCTCTTAAAGATGGTGATTTTCCGTAGGGAACTGTTGGTTTACCAGAGGTAACCTGCCAAACTGGTGAAAAATGGGGATTTCCCATGACTTAACGTAAAACATCCCATGTTACAATCCCCATCTATCACCAGTGTCTACGGTTCAAATGCATAAAACACCTGAAAAACCGTGCTTTTTGTTGAAGACAATGTTTCACCCTCTGAAATATTCCAGATAAACCGAGCATGATTCATCATGAAATTCACCATGGATATCACCATGGTTTCTACGGAAAAAACAAGTGAAACACCAGTGAAAATCAAAGAATTCTTCACAAAAAACTACCCTCTGGTAATTTAACATAGCTATTGAAAATGACCATTTATAGTGGATTTTACCATTAAAAATGGTGATTTTCCATAGTTACAGTACGTTAGTTTACCAGAGGGTACCGAACATATCCATGTTTTTTCAGTGACTTCAACCAGTTCCAGTCCACCGGACATCTCTCCACGGTACCTTTCAATGATAAACATGAAGGCTTCATGGGCGTCCGCCTGGCCCGGGGAATACATGTGGAAAATGGCCCATGCAAATAGATGATAAAGGCACAAAAAAAAACACGATGTTCCACATGTATGTTAGTTTACAGGAGGATATCATTTTGCAATCTAAGCCTTAAGCTAGGAGAAACTGCCATCAGTGAGGGAAAAAACAGCCTTTTGCAACTATGATGTTAAAAATCCAGAATGGTTGTCGGTGTGTTTCTATGTTTTTTCTGCGGGCGGGTTGAATTTTGAGGGACTTTGCCGGGGTTCCAGTTTTAGGACATAACATGATGTACCATGAGATCACATGAGATGTGCCATGAAAAAGGACAGTTCGATGCGTAAGAGTGTTGGCCCCACAAGCCTTCCCGATGTTTGGCACGTAGCGTTCAAACAACCAATGTGGATTCAGCCCTCAGGACCCAGGGCGCCATTCTCCGTGGGTCCAATCATTGAATATCAAGCAGGGCAGGCTTGAAATATCTTGAAATGTTGACTGCCAGGCAATATACCCTCTGGTTTACCTATTGTTTAGATGGTTTACCTATTGTTTAGACACATCCTTTTTTTTGTTTGCCTGGCTGCACAAAGTATTTTTTGTGTCTCAGTTTTTACTTCCCCTATTTTCATGTCGCACCCTGGCAACCCGATCCTGGCAAACCGATGGATTGCCGTGCCGTTCGCCGATGCGGAAAGTCGTTTAACTCCAAACAGACTCCAAAGCTTGGGTGTAACATAGCTATTCAAAATGGCCATAGAAATAGTTGATTTACCCATGAAACATTGTGATTTTCCAGTTCGCGAACGGTTAGTTTACCGGAGGGTAGACCCCATCCCAATGCAACCATCCCGTTCACCAAGGAATCATCTGAAACCTCGGGGATGGCTTAGGGTTAAGGCTTCGCCACATGATATTCCATGTAATACTGGTTGGTGGTGCAATAACCACGGATCATAGGTCCATTACCCTGATGGACATAGCCTCTGGTAAACGTTAACAAAAAACTATGGAAAGATCCACCATTTTCAAGAACGGTAAACCATCTATTTCGATTAGGGCCATCTATACCATGGCGAACTGTAACAGTCATAACCAGGCCGGGTATATATATAGCGATGTTGAATTTCTACTGTGGCAAAAAGACAGCCATGTTTTCCTGTTTTCCACCCGGTTAGACCCCGGTTGAAACCCAACGTTGTTCCACACCAACACGCGAGACGTCACCAGAGCCATTCACCTGTTGTCCTTGCATAAATTCTTTGTTCACGGTGATCAACCTCAGCCCAGTGGTAGGTACTCAACCCATTGAGGTTTTTATGTCTTCAAACACATCGAAAAAAACACATCGATTACCCTCTGGTGAATTGAATTATATAACATCACGAACTGGAAAATCACAATGTTTCATAAGTATAAATCAACTATTTCGGCTGGGCCATTTTCTATGTCGCAAACTGTAAACGTTTACCCGGCCAATAGCGGCCAGTGGTAGGCGATACCTATTTGGTTCGTGTGCAAAATACTGATCGATCTCTACACCTGGGGTTGTCTGCCTGCCTTACCATCTGGTTATTTAACATAGCCATGGAAAGATCCACCATTTTTACTCTAACGAAAACAAACGTAGACCCTGAATGCTTGATACCTACGTTCAAACGTAGACCCCGGTGAGCAAATTTGCTGATCCAGGGTCTATCTTTTCTTGTAAAAACATGTAAAACAAACCATGGCCATGTTAAATAACCAGATGGTATTTTGCCGAATCTGATCTTGTCTTATCTTGTCTTAGCGTCTATCTATCCATCCATCCATACATGCATCACTCCATCCATCCAACCAACCAACCATGCAACCAATCCAACCATGCAACCCATCCATCCCATCCATCCCATCCGTCTGTCTGAGATCTATCCGCTTGATTCCGCTTGTCTATCTGATCTTATCAAACTATGTTCTTTGATTCTATCGAGTCTTATCTATGTTGCTTTCTGTCTATTTCTCATTCAGTCACTCAATCGATCAATCTATCTTTTTTCGATTGTTCTAACTATTCATCTATCTGACTATATAGCTAGATTATCCATTCTGTATTTTTACACATGTTTCGTCCAAAGCGTTTAACTCCATATCAGGAACCTTGTGTGTCCTCAGGATAGCTTCGCCATTGGGGCCCCTGGGTTGAAGATCTGCAGATTCTTTAGTCTGAACGTCAAAGTCACTAACACCAAACCTGGTTGGTGGTTGACCAACCCCTCTGAAAAATATGAAAGTCAATGGGAAGGATTATCCCATATGTTATGGAAAATAAAAGTCATGTTTGAAACCACCAACCAGCAAACTCACTGGAATTTCCTTCTCCCGTCTCTGGTGCAGGCACAGACTTGGGAGTCTCTTTGAGACGTTCCGACTGTCAAAATCCGCATCTGAATCCAGACTGAAGGGAGGTGGAATGACAACATCTTGTCTAAAACTTGGAGGGTTGTCCCATCAAGTGGAGGCAATTAGACAGGCAACAGCAGAGCTGCTGAGCAGAAACCTTGACACAAAGCGCAATCCGAGGCAAAAGTTGCAGCCACAAAGCCAAATCCGCGACCTATCATACCATATTACTAGGGGGTTGAATATCAATAAATCCCAGCTATGTTCATGCGAACTACAGAAGTTTCCAAAGTTTTGACCGATAGAAATTTGGGTGCCCAGCCAGCTATGTTTGTTGGTTCAAAAAAAATATTCACCCCAGCCAGACTAGAAATAAACCAACTTAGCTAAGTATGGGGCACCACCTTTGAGTGAGAATTACCCTCTGGTGATTTAACATAGCCATGGAAAATGGCCCATTTATAGATGTTTTTCCCATTAAAACCTCCATTTATGGTTGGGATTTTCCATGGCTATGTTAAATAACCAGATGGTATAATGTCATTGTGCCATGGTCAAGTTACGCGGATAAACCGCCCGCTCTCATTGGCGAAATCCCTGGTTTTCATCTTTAAGTCAAGTGTCGATTTGTGGTTGTTTAATGACTCTAATTTTCATGGTTCAATCCCAATTCCTAGTTTTTTTTGAAAAAAGAAATCTGTACCATCTGTCATTATTCAGACAGACCCATTTTCAATTATTCACATTATTCATTGGTGAATTTCCTGTAAATTTTCCGGTTATTGATGATTACCATGTTTCATGGCTTTAAAAAACAGTTTTGGATGGTTCGATCCCAATTGTGCACCATGCTTGATGATTAAATCCACCCTTTTGGATGGTGAAATTATCTATGTTCAACAATTTTCATGGTTAAATACTCTAGCTGATTGGTGGTATACCTACCCCTCTGAGTGAAAGTCAGTTGGGATGATTATTCCCAATATATGGAAAAATAAAAGTCGTGTTCCAAACCACCAACCAGTATATAGATCTTGATATGTTAAGTCCCATTAAGCCATATGAAGTCCCATCTAGTTTCACCAGCAGTTATATATTCTAACAGTATCTAATAGTTATAGTTATATCCATTAATATCCATTAATATCCCATATATCCCACAATATCCCATATTTCACCCATAGTTGATCCATATTAAGATATATTAAGTCCCATTAAGATCCATTAAGCCATGTTAAGTCCCTATTGTTTCACCCATCGTTCATTGTTTTTCATGCACCATTTTAAGGATGCTTCAGATCCGATCACCACGCCCCACTGGGCCAGTGACTCCGACATCTTCGACGAAATGGCCATGCGCCCGCGATTTTCAGCCTGTGAGCATCAGCCCCACAAAGCCCACAAGGCCAGGCAGGGTGTTTTCCTGAACATGTGCAGAACTTTACCCTCCGGAGGCTTTTTTTGGAATGTAGCATTGCTGATGAATATGCTGATTCCTAGATTTTGAAATCAGGATCATGGTAATGTTTGAAACCTCCTTCATTCCATCTGTAAATGTTTGAAATGTGGTTAGCTGATCATGGCGAAAATCCACCATGAATCTGGTTGATTTTCCGACTTTCCCATCTATAAACCTTCATGACACAGCGCTGGAGGGTAAGGAATGTTAAGGAATGTACCCATCAGAAGTGAGAAATTGCTGAATTAACAAACAAACTGGTGATTCATGGGGATGTACCCATCAAAATTGTAAGAACAAAAATGTAATGATCAAACATGGTTGATTTTTGGGATTTAACCATGAATAATGGTATGTGGGTGCGTCTGAACATGCGATATATACTCAAAAATGGTAGCACGTTTGACTGGACATATGACGACACTGACCATCAAATGTGTGGGTCCCCTATTTTCAGACAAATCCATATCATCTTTCGGCCGCGAATTTCCTATATTAATGATATTTTTTCATATAGCTTTGACGTCATTTTACGTCATTTGGTCCCGGTACTTACAGGGACCAAATGACCAAATATTTGGCATGTCCAATATGACAATTTTAGGCTGGTAGATTCAGCCCGGAAATCCCAACAATAGCTTGATCGAATTTGGTCGAGTACTGAAATAGTGCCTGGTCGAGCACATTTCTACTGTGTCGTAAGAAAAAAAAGAAAAAAAACACAGTGACCACATTGAAAACTATAAAATTCTGGGAAATCACGTTGAAAACATTACCTTCTGGTAATTTAACGTAGCTATTGAAAATGACCATTTATAGTGGATTTTCCCATTAAAAATGGTGATTTTCCATAGCTATGTTAGTTTACCAGAGGGTAAAAACAGTGACCACCACATTGAAAACCACCAATCGATGCATCGATACTTCGCCATACTTCGCCGGTCTCCGCACCCCACGGTGGTATGGCAGGCACCTCTGACATATCCTGGAGCGAGGTTTGGCCAAAAAATGATGGAACCTTGGTACAATGTGGTGCCCCAGTTCGTTAGCTAAGTTGGTTTATAAGCCCCAATAACTATAGTTATAAGTACAAGGTTGTGCCCCCCAGTTATAAGTTGATTTATAAACCATAGTAAGTAGTTCGATATATCTACCATAAACCATAGTGACATTGGAGTTATGTTCACCAATTTAGCTAACGAACTGGGGCACCACCTTGGTATGGAAAATGTTTGTGTTTTTTTCGATGTTATGATAGTTCATGTATGGTTGATGTTTTTTATCCCCTGAAAACAAATGAACTATCATCGACTATCATGTTATATCATGTTACATGTTATATCATGTGATATCCCCCTTTTTGAAAAAGCCTTATTGGACTAAGAGTTTCTTCGCCAACGAACTGGGGCCCCATCCTGTACCATGATACCCAAAAATGGCCATAGAATGGGGTACCGGATAGCAAGACCCCAGTTTCAAGTCACGGATGGGCCTCCTTTCAATTGCCATGAAAAAACATCATCAAACCATTCAGTGATCATTTGGAAACCATGGCATGATGGGGGCCCACAATTTGGAGACAATCCCATATCAGGAACAACCCCAAAACAGGGGGATGCAAGTGGAAATCCCACAGATACAAAAGTTGGTCGTCTACGTCTGATCCAGCGAGAATCACTCAGCCAATAATGTCCTAAAATGGTAAAAATAGAGGGGCCGGGAGCTGGTATACCATCTATCATCATAGAAACCTGTTGTTAAAGGGGTTTCTGAAGAAACCCGTCTATTAATCAACCAACCAATGGGAATTTGGGACATCTATGCAGTCACGAAAAGCTGGCTACAAACAAGAGAATCACGAGCGTTTTGCTGTGTGAAACGGGCAGAGTATCTGCAAATCTCCCCTTCAGGATGGTGCCCCCCAGTTACGTTTGTTGGTTTATAAACCCCATGAAAACTAGTTCGTTATATTTGCCATAAACCATAGTGAAATGGGACTTATGTTCACCAACTTAACTAACTATGGGGCACCACCTTGTTGTTTCCATCACCTTTTGCTTCGACTACAGGACTCGGAGAAAAAGTGACCGAAAAGTGTGTCCAACCTCCAGCAGCTGCTTCAGTTCTGAAAGCCACCGTGTGTCCTGGCCATGAAAAATGCGAAATGACCACCAGCCACACATTGGGATTTCACCATGCAAAATGGTGGCTTAACTCCGTCCCGATGCTGAAAGCCTCAGGCGAGGATGTTGAAAACCCTCATTTTTAGGGTGATATTTATATATATATATATATACATATATACAATTATTTACATATATAAATATGCCGGGCTCAATAGGTCTCTGCCACTTCTTGGCCCAAAAAATTCTTCAAAACCGGTGGTAAAATCAACACTCCACCCTCCAAAATGGATGGTTGACACTTATTCAACGACCCCAAAATTGGTCGACGTGGCCGCATTTTGCCGCAAAAGTTGAAGCCACAAAAATCCCATTGCCACATGCCATAAAACCAACAAAAAATCCCTCAGAAAGACGCCTCCCTCTCCAGGCAGTGGGATGGCACTTCCTGCAAGGACCTGGTTCGGGTCGGTCGTTCCGAACCAAGGAGTCTACCAATGGTGCCAAGTTGGTGTATCATTATTACTACGTATATTATGCCTTATGATATTATATATTATGACTAACTATACTTATATTATGACCATTTTTTTTGTGGCTAATTACTATATTATGACTAACATTGACTAACTATGATATCATTATTGGAAACTCTCCTGTCTAACTATTAACTATGATACTATGGCTACTATGGCCATATTCATCCACCTGGCACTGGAAGACTGGAAGTTGTGATCCATATTTCTCAATGAGGATTGTTCCAAAATAAGTATATACTTGGCAGTTTCAACCCAACTATAATACATATCCATTGGATAAATATGATGATCCCAATGAGTAAGATTGTTCAGATGGGTTGAAACTGCCAATCAGATATAAAAACTTGCTTATAAACCCATCCAACTATAGTTGTAATCACCATACATCCTGGTTAGGGTTGAAAATATAGAACATGAAAAAAAATTGAAGCCACCAATCGAAACTGGCCGAAGTAGGGAATTCAACCATCAACCATTAAAAAAGTGCGATTTAACTATAAAAACAAATCTGATCTAACCGACCAAAGTGGGGAATTTACCGCGGACATGGACCTGTTTCACCATGAAAAATAGTAGATCTTCACCATCACGGATCCTAGGGATCAAAATTAGCATCCAACATGACAGAATTTGGCCATCAAAAACAAATCTATGGGTCTGTGTTCATAGAATATGACCATTTCAGAAAGTCACCAGTAAAATGGGATCCTGAAAAATCCATGTTCTATCAGTTCTATCTACTTCAGGATGATCAAAATTCCGTTTCAAACATGCCCAAAAAACACCCTGGGGGGTAGAACCACGGTGTTAGCCTCGGGTGGATGTGACCGACATTTTTTGAGTTCTCATTTTCACTTGGGATCATCAAGCCTATTGGACGCCCGTTGCGGACTGCAGCTGGCCAGCGGTTAGCAGGATCTGATCCACAAAACCAATTCTTTGAAGCACATGAAGCTATGTTCTGTGGACAATTCCTGGTAGATCAGGGTTGTTGTACCTTATTGTAGTATCTTGGGCAAAAACCTCTGGTTCTGCGGGAAATACTCGTGCAACATGATGCAAGAATATGAAAGATCTCGAGTATCTCCATTTCCTTAGCCCTGATTAAAAGCCACACATGACTTGCAGTCCCTCCCAAGCAAACTACCCATCCCAAACAGGAAGAACTTTCCAACTGCTCAGCCTAGTCCAACTTAAATGCCAAAGAATTTAGATGAACTCTAGAAACTAAGCAGTCTGATTTTTGTTTAGTCTTAGAGTCTTCTGAAGCAATAACTACCATCTGGTTATGACTAACAGTTCGCCATGGTATAGATGACCCTAATCGAAATAGATGCTTTACCGTTCTTAACATATTCCCATTATATTACCCTCTGGTTATTTAACATAGCCATGGTATAGATGGCCCATTTATAGATGGCTTACCTATTAAAAATGGTGGATCTTTCAATGGCGAACTGTGAATGTCATAACCAGAGGCTACCCCCAAAAAGGAAAAAAAATCGTTCCAGGGAGATCCCAAATGGCCACGCTGGCGATTCACCAGTCGCTTTTGGCCCATATTTTTTCATGAAAAAATCGATCTTTCAGCCATTGAAGGAGCCATATTTTATTGGAGCTAGGTACACCTAGCATAAATCCATAATCCATTTTTGTCAGGCCTAAGGGCTAAATATCTCCAAAAAAGAGGCCTCTTTTCAGGCCTCAAAATACTGAAATTCCCACTGAATCTTTGCCGAGACACCAATAGAGTAAGGGTGTATGTACAATGCATTGCAGGATGGCATTGAGGTAACAGGTGTTGCCCTGGCTCTGCGCCAAGCAGCTAGACGTGAGTGTGTTGTGTCAGTTGAAGGACCGGAAAGACAAATCTGTCAAAAATCATGTAAATTTGGATAAAGATGGGAAAATTGGACTTAACCATGAAAAAGTAAAACTACAACGGACCTTGGAAATCCTCGGAATGATGGATTATGATGGATTAATCAATCTGGTAAAATCGGCGGATGAATTTTGGAAATTCAATTATATATAGTATGGGGAGAAAGACTAGAAAGTTCACAAGTAACTTATCATTATTGGTGTTTGTGGGATTCGGTGTTAATGGGTTATGATCATCCCCAACAAAATGGTGGTATCACCCTGTACAATTATCAACCAACGGCTTTGAAGTTGCTTACATGACTAAACATGACAAAATCTGTGAGCAGAATTGCTGTTTGCAGATGTTTGCAGATAGATTTTGGCATGACCTACCTGACATGGCCGCAACAAATGTAGTTGAAACTTTTAGTGGGTCATGTGTTGCAAATCCAAACAAAACAAACAATCTGAGTTTGGACTTGCTAAGAAAACCAAAAAAAACACTAACACGACGCCCTATAGATTTCCCAAGTATTGGATTTCCCATTGGGAACACAATTAAAAATCATCTTCAGCAAATCCAGGTAAGTGTCTAGGGCTACATATGTATATATATATATACATATAATTATAATCATATAATACATATAATACATACATATATATATATAATGCATATAATACATATATATATATATAATGCATATAATACATATATAGGCAAATATATATATATATACAATCCGTTATAATCCGCCATCCATTAGCAACCAACTGGAACTCAATGGTACCCATTCATGAGCGGCCCATATGGTAAAACATGGTGGGAATATGAACGGGGGAAAAGATTGACCAAAATACATCAGTTCTGGGTTTCACTTTCGTCTTACTGGTGCGTTTTACGTAGGGAATGGATGGGAATGAAGGTTGCTGGGATGATTCTATCAATAGTTGGCCAGTGGATCATTCCCGAAAAATCCCTACGTAAAACGCAGTAAGTCGTTCTTCCCAACGTGGATATATCCTCTACGCATTCCTCTGGTAATTTAATTTTTAGCTACGGAGAATCAACGTTTCTGATAAACCATCGAAGTAAAATTAAATCATTCAGAAACGGGCATTTTTGTTTTTCCATTGTTATGATTATTCTAATAGAGGGTAAGTTTACAATTCAATAAGTAATGGGTTAATTGAGGTTAATTGGTTCTAATTGATTATTCCATAGTTATAGATGATAGGTGTTAAGTTTTCGAATAACCAGAGGGTATGATTATTCAAATTGGTGATTTCCCACTGCTATGTTCCTTTGCCTGAAACTGATTTCCAAAGATCTTTTTTACCTAGAAATATTTAGAACCACCGGTTATATATAATCATATATATATATAATCTATATAATCTATATAATCTATATATGTGTTTACCTATTTTTTTACCTATTAGAAATGTTAAAGATATTTTTTCCCGGTGATGCAAAAAGAAACCACCGCCCAAGCCAGCGAGGCGCGCCTGATTCTGCAAGCCCACCACGGGTGCCGACATTGGCCTGGCAAGGCCAATGTCGGTGCGACGGGCAGTCGGTGCGACCCCCCAAAAAAAAACAACAGGCACCTATCCTTCTATCTCTCTATCTATCTATCTAACCTAGTCTAGTCTGACCTAAACTAATCTAATCTAATCTAATCTAATCTTATCTATCTACCTACCCTGGAACTGCCATAAATAAAAACTCCGACACTCCCACTGTCATGTTCCTGCCTGCTGCGCTGCAGTTTCAGCCTCATCTCACGCGTTCAGCTTTTTGGGTTTCTTGAACTCTCCATGTAAAATTCCATGTGTTGGAAGAACCAAAAAAAACACAAACAAATTGACAAAAACGTGAAAAAAACACAAACCATGTAAAGTTGTTGGTTTTCTTGAACCCTCTGTGTGTTGGACATCATGATTCCAAACACAAATGTTCACAAACTAGCCTCCGATAAATATGAAATTTCACCCATCTGTACTACCAAACTGTTCGCTTTTCACCCCTTGTGATGTGATACTGGTTTCCAGCCAAAAAAATGGGTCAACCATGGGTGCCAGCTCCGGAAACCGGAACACCAGTTTGAAAAAAAGAAACGGTTCTCCCAAAAAAGATGCCGAAGAGTTTGTCCAGCTTGGTTGTTTGATATCAAAAAAAAATCATACCCTCTGGTAAACGTTAACAAAAACTAAGGAAAATCACATGTTTTTAACGGGTACATCAACTATAAATGGCCATGTTCAATAGCAAACTGTTAGTTTACGAGAGGGTACCCTCTGGGAATCAAATGCGGCAATGGAAAATCCAGTCCTATGATTTTCTTAGCTATAAACCTCCATTTACAGTAGTAATTTAGACGATCTCCCAGAAAAAGGCCACGTTTGATGACACCGCGAATTCCAATCCTACAGGGTGATGTCACACCAAGGTTCATCCAGAACATAGACACACGCGTATATATATATATATATTATATATATATACGTACACAAAAGTGTACATATATATATAGAGAGAGAGAGTGAGAGATACATAGTGTGCATAATATACTAACCTCTATAATCATCATGATCTAATATAGCCATATGATGTATAGATGTGCTAAACTGTCCCCATGTTTCTTCGTTCCTACGCCCACGCACACGCTACATCACCAGTGCATGAATCTGAGCGGCCAAAATCGGCTGCCACACAGCAGCCATTGGTCCTCAGAGTTGAAGGTTGGTTTGTTTTGGGGTCTCAGAAAGTGAGATTTTACTTCGACAAACGGGGGTTTTCAGGTTTTCTTAAATGGGCACACCCCAAAATGGATGATGTATAATGGAAAATCTTATTAAAATAGATGATTTGGGGATAACCCTCATTTGGGGGGTTCCCAATTCATGGGGGTACCCCTAAATCATCATCCATGAAATAAACCATCCAGATACCATCCAGCTATTGGGAATCCCCCATTCATGGAACCTCCAAATGAGGGTTATTAAAAAGTTTGACTTTGTCCTCTTTCGAGCAGATTTAGGGTCTCAAAAAGTGAGTCGGGTTATGAACTACCGGGTTCTTCAAAAAAAAAAACGCCATCCTGCCACACTCACTGCGAAGAAACGTTGCATGCCCAATTCAATGTTGTTACATCGCTTTGCTTGGAAAGGCCAGTTCAAAAAAAACAGCCATTTTCAATGGATTGGTTTAAGTGAAAATTTTAAGCGGAAAGCCCCATACTTAATGGGAAAATCTATGGTTTCCTGTAGATGTTCCCTTAAACCAATCCATTGACATTTCGCTTTGGTTGCCGGAACTGGGAAGCCATGGGAAGCCCATGGCAAAGCTAAGTGGGAAATTCCTCCAGCTACCCTGCAATGATGAGAATATGATAGAATTTCTGGATATAAATGTTGGGTAATGTTTATAGTACAGTTTTAAAAAAAATATACTAATGATTTTTTACATCAACAGTAGTAGCTATGACTTCTAAGAACTAATATAGTACGAGAACACCGAATCTTACGTGATGCTTCTCTTGGTGCTTTTCTTGGTGAGTTCTTGATCCGCCGGATGTGTTAAAACATACGATAAAAAGGCCATCAGTTGTTGCATAAAAAATCTGGTTTGCTTGGCAGAAAACCCGCATTGGGTTGTGAACTCTCCCGTTCTGAAGTTCGTTTGAAGACCCATGTGGGTACAGTATGACTCAAAAACTATGAGATGTTCTTGACTGTATGTAATGTATGATTTTGCGCTAGCTGGGGGTCCATATGTCCCATCCCCCATTGTTAGAGCCATGGTATCATTTCGCCTCAGGGGTCCCGTGCCTGTGTCACTCGTGCTATCGATGATCCAACACTTTTTTCCTGTCAAGAACTCATCCCCTGGGTGACCTGGGTGTGGATATTTGGTCTTTGAAAATGGGGTATACTTGGTGGCTCATCCCACTTAGTAAGTGGGTTATAACCCCAGTTACAAATGGGCTAAGTAGGGTTAATCCACTTATAATTGGGGTTATAACCCACTTACTAAGTGGGATGAGCCACCAAGTACCACCCAAATAGCAGTTTTACTTGGAAACATGATTAAATCACATTTGATAAACCATGCGATTTAGGGTTTTACCATAACGGGTCAAGAAACATGTCCTGCATATCGCTATGGATATCTACTTGGAATGCGGATTGAAGAAGTACAGTGGCGTGGCAAGGTGCGTGATCTGGGTCCATGGGTGTCCCAATATTGACCCATACCAAACCAAAATGTGTATATATATATATACATAGTATATACATGTATATATATATATAGTGTATATATATAGTATATTATACATATATACAGTATATACCGTTAAAAACAAAGTTAGAATGCGGTTTTGGTTTTGCGTAATGGTGGCCCGTTTGGCCCCCCCCCCACGGCAGACGCATTCTAACTGAAGGAACACCTGTAAATATATATATATATATGTACATAGTATATTGTATATACGTGCAGCATAAAAACAAATCACTGAAGCAACATCATTAGACAATATCAATATCCAGCAAAACCCACTCTTGGGAAAAATGGTTTTGGAGCGATTTGGTTTGGCATGCC